CCGAGGAAGATAAATATACAGAGAAGGATGCAATACAGTAGAGAGGAAGTTGAAGACACAAAACCTAAGATCAAAATTTGACTCTACTTTCTGTGTGGTCTTGGGGCAAATTACCTGACTTATGAGCCCCGCTTTTCCTATCTGTCAAATGAGGCTTATAAAACGCCTGCTTTGCCTATTTTATGGGATTGTTACTAAAAATGAAAGCACTTTTTGCCTATTTTGTAGGGTTATTATTAAAAATGAAAGCACTTTGTAAATGGTAACATACAATATAGGTGTAAGTTGCTTTCCTTTGTAGTTCTACTACAGAATTAACATTGGTATCATGAAGAACTTTGTCAGTATTCACATGTTAAGATTTTGAGTAAAACTAGGAATATACATGTTAGTGAAACTCAAGCACATTTTCAATTAGTGGCTAAAGATGACACATGTGGCAGACAGAAAGTCTGTACTTAACAAGAATTGAGTCATCAATAACTACTAATCATCAATACAACTAGGTGGCGATAATTCAAGCAAGCAATTAACTGAGGTATGAGTGACAGTAAGTGACAATAATTCAGTAACCTTATAAATCTCTTTGTGGCCACCAAAAAGGAAAAGTTAAGAAATAACGTTTATTAATAGAGCTTTCATGCAACATTTAAGAACACTTACTCTCGGTCATAAAGGAAAAAGACTTGAGAAATAAAACCATAAAAAATAGTAATTGACAAAGGTTTACTTTTCAAAGAGCTTCATTATCCATTAGTACTTTTAAGAACTTTGTTCTTGGAGAGGTATCTCTTAAAGATTAACGATAAATTCCTTTTTTGCTTCAACTGATACAGGTTATACATACACACACACAGACACACACACACATACACACACACACACGTGTGTACTGATGACCTATGAAAAGCAAACATATTCTTACTCAATGCTCCAGATAATTTTTATAAAAATAATTTGCTTAAAATATCTTAATGCTCAAATATTCCAGAAGTAATAAATATATTGTAATATCTATTTAACAATCAGGTTTTATTATTCAGATTTCTTATATCCATTATTTAAAACTCACTGAGGCATAATCTGTACTCTTTAGAAAAATATCCAGTCTCATTTGTGTTAAGTAAAACAAAAGTCTATTCACATAATTTCCAACAAAAAAGGGTTGGGGGAGAGAGACAGTTGCTAAAGGATAAGAGACTTAAAAATAGCTACCTTACAAAAAATATGCAAATACCTTTTACTCATAGTATTTCTCTTCACCATGGCCAGCCAGATTAAAGAAAGCCAATGGCCAAGTGTTCATAAAGAAAGATACTAGGTTTTTAGTTAACGGATATTAATGGTAGGCTGAAGGCTGGACTCTGGGTAATCTCTAAAAGTATCTTCCATCTCTATGATTCTAAACTATTTACCTCTCATATGGCAGAATTTTTGGAGACAAATAAAATATTACCATAACCTTTATCAAGTTTAGGCTTCAAAGGCAGCAGACAATCCAACACTGAAAGCAATATTCAGTAAGAAAGGGCAAAATTCTAGACGGTTTAATAAAAGTACCACCAAAGAGTAAACTACTTCACTGAGTTGTTTCAGAATTTAATCACTCAATATTTAAGTCAATATGATACAAAGCAAAAAAAAAAGAGCTGACACAACAGAATATTATTGAGTCCTTTACATTCTGTCCGTTGATATATTATTAGTTCAGGCAACCATACCTAAAGTCATACAAAACACACAATTCTAACACATAAAAAGAACTCTGAAAGTAACAAATCCATTTAGACATGCATTTGATTTTCTATTCTAAAGATGTTTCAAGTTTCTGGGTCATTTATCTATCATTAACTATAGCATTTCACATACAGAATATACTGGTATCTCAAAAATATTTTTAATATATTTTAAAAGCACAAACCCAAAGTCTACTTTAAAAACCATAAAACTTTACTGATGAAATAATTTTTAAATGTAATATTTACCTTCACAGCATTAGTCAAGCATCTAAAACAAATTTCAATGTAATAAATGACCTTCCTTATAAGCATTCTTTGCTTCTTTTACTTAACATAGCTGATTTAAACAGGGCATTGGTGCAGAATAATTCAAGCTAACCACCATCAAAGGGGTGGCTTATTGTTGCTACAGAAACAAAGCAATGGCAATTAGTATGTAAATGAGACTCCACAAAGCAGCATCCTCTTGTTACCAAAGTGATATTCAATACCATGCTTTTCATGGGTGCCTATTTAATAACACTATGTAACAGCAACAACTTAATTTTACAAATGCTGTTTACTAAATAGTTTAGAAAATTATCAAGTCCTGATATTACATTGCCGTATATGAGAATGTATTTAAACTTACCCAGAGCATCATATTCTAAAGCACAATGGTAAATCATACGATCTACAGAGATGATAAAATTCACATTTTCAAAAGAAAGGAGCCATTTTTACCAGTAATTTTTTGTTTTTTTTTGGGGGGGGTCCTTTCGAAATAAGTAGAAGGGGCAGTAGTCAATATGGTATATCACATGCCCAAAGGAAACCCTGAGAGATAAATAGTATTAAATTTAAGAAGCTTTAAACTGGAAAAAGATAGGAGACAAATAAAACTCAAGATTGGTTTACACATAAAAAAATAAAGTGTTGTACCTGATGCAATTTATATGAGTTCAACTAATTCACAAACATATAATGGCTCCTCTCTTTAAAAACAAACTTGAATACATGTTTTTATTTCTAGAAATTAGTTTTCTCCAACAAGAAATACTATAGAATAAAGGAACTGCTATTTACTTGATGATGGAGGCAGGCAGGACCAGAACCCAGGATTCCCAACTCTCAGTCCTTTTCAATATACTACCCAAAGAACTGAAATGACCTGAAATACTTGTTTAGAAAATATTCACCAAATAAAACCTATTCCATTCAAATAGGTAAATTGCAATGCACAAGGATGACAAAATATATAATCAAGAAACATAGTATAACTAAATTGCTGTGCCGAACACCTGAAAGTCACACAATATTGTAAATCAACTGACTTCAATAAAAAAAATTTTTTTAAAGAAATATACACTATAATTGTCTAAGATTTGGGACATAAAAATAAAGATTTATCTTTATCTTAAATATTGTGTACATATATAAGAGTTCATCACAAAATGTGAGAACACAAGCAAAGATAGGAATCATGAAGTAAATTTCATAACTAGTTCCTTCCTTTCCCCCAAATGTTATTTTTTGAGTTAAAGTGATTTCATATATGCAGATAATTCTCCTAAAATATATAAAATTTCAACCAGTATGTGATGTTAATGATATTAACAGAATTCGATCTTCTTTTACTTAACCCTTATTTTCCCCCAAGACAAGCAAGGAGATGACCATTACCAAGGTGGTATATAATACATGAAATAAATAGTATAACACTATAAATAAACCATAATTGTAATTTAAATGAAACAATATCTTTATTAAATTAGCCAGTGGTTGAAAATATAAAAGTGAAATCTTTAAATTATAACCTGACTTACAGTTCACTATTAGGAAATAAAAGCAAAATTCTCTAAGTTTTTGAGGAAAGTCACAAGTTTTATTGAGATAATTAAATGGTCTTTTGTACATTTTTAGAAACTATTTAGAATATTAATAGTAGCTGAATGAAACTCAAAAGGGCAGATCTACAGGGGAAGCCAGTGAAGTTTCAATCAGAATTAATTTAACAAATATTTAATTAACCATCCATTATTTATAAGTAATGAAAATATGACGGTGAGCAAGCCAAATCTGGTCACTGCTGTTAGAGCTTAGAGTGTAAAAGAGAAGACAAATGAATGACAAAGTGCTATAAGGGGGAAATATAGGGCACTCTGGAAATACACAGCAAGGGCCCCTGACTTAATAAAGGGAGAGATGATACCAAGGAAGGCTTCCAGAAGGAAATGACTATAAGGTTCGAAGGATAAGAATGGTTTAGCTATAGGGAAACAGAGGTACAAAAAATGTATTAGGAAGAAGAAACAGCATGTGTAGTCAGAGTTATTCAGGACCAAGGCTGAGAGAAACTGGCTGAAGAGTAGAACCTGGTGGCTGGGAAGGATGGGGGTGGGGAGAGGTGAGGAGTTAAGATGATGGAGAAGCCAACAGGGACCAAGTCAGGGCTGCAAGCCTTATTAGGAACTTGAACATTAACCTGGGTCAATGCAGAGCCATTAAGGGTTTTAAGCTAGCGACTAATGTGATCAAATTTGCATTTTAGAAAGATGGCTTTGGTTTGGTTACCCAGGAAACAGCAAATGG